TCTTTTACAGTGCCAAACATATGAACAGTATTGTTTGAAGGAAGTAAGATTTTTTTTACTGTGTTACTGAACAAATATTGTTTTTAAATGTTAGATTTGGAATAATTTTGTATTGTAAACTGTTTTGTGACCTGGTGCTTTTTTCATACTGGAATTACTGGTTGCACCTGAGCATTATTATTCCGTTTTCTTATATGGATGCATAACCTCAACAATCTTTATCAAAACCAGTGTATGATGGAGACCCAAGGTTTGCAACTATAAAATCCCACACAACACCTCCAAAATGTTCTTGCCTACTAATAAAAATTCTGTTATATCCATGTTTTCTGGGAAGTTCCATTGCAGGAGTGTGTTGGGGTTGCCATTTGGGAGAGATCCTCAAATATATTATTTGATTCAGACCATGCCAGCACTATGGAGTCTTTTCCTTTCAGGGCTAAGGTAGCAATGGGAATGTAATGCAATCCATCCAGAGAAACTAGGTTAGCTATTCCTCTTTTGTTTGAAAGGCTGTCCTGTTAAAATCAGATGTAAAGATGATGAATCACCAGAAGGGTCATCCTGAAGGGATCCTGACATTATCCATTTTGGGAAAAGCAGGCATATCACTCAGGGCTTTCCTCACTGTCTGGGAAGATGTACAGTCAACCCTCCACATTAGTTAGGATTAGGGCACAGCACCCACACAGAGTGAAAAACCACGAATAACAAATAAGATTGTTGTTGTGTGACTTTAAATCATTTCAGACTTAGGGTGACCCTAATTCTAAAGTTTAGGGTGGAGGACAGGTAAATGAGCTTCTGGCCTGTGAGCCTTAGTATGGGGATCCCTGACATAAAGGGTAATCCTATCCTGTCCAAAGACATGGGAGTCAAGATCCAAAAGATTCAGTGCAAGATAAAACCATCTACCACACAGGAGTGAAAAACAACAAGAAGTGGTTATAGCTTATGAATATTTATTTCTTTCCTTCTTAAAAATTGTACAAAAAATAAAATAAACCTGTATTATTTATACGTTTATAGATTCCCATCTCCCCCTTTAAAAAAAAACTATTAAGTTACACAACTAGAATAAAATAGCACACGCTGTTTATACAAAAACTTCCTTGCTTTCCAGCGATGGCGACTGCACAAAGAATTTTTGGCACAAACACTCTTGTTTGTATCAGTCATGTCACCGTTTTCCTGGAGAGATGTTGGGGAGGGAGAGAGGAAGGACTAAGAGGTTACTAAAGGAACAAATGTTTTCAATGCTATACACTTTAAAAGCTTCAACCAGTCCACTTTGGCCAAATCTGTAATCACAGTGTTATTTCCCCCCCCAGTTTCCTCTTTATTAAGGAAACTGAACTTGAGAAGTTGCATTCGTTTTACAGTGTTCTAACAGGTTTGTGAAAATAAACAAAGGGAAAATGCTCAATTCATAAATCAGATGTTTCTGTATACATATCAAAGTCATTTCTGTTTTAATAACAAGCATTTGTTGCTTGCCAACAACAAAAGCTAGAAAACAATGGCTAAGCTTAGTGGAGACCCCTCCTCTTCCATAACCAACAAAAGTAAAGGATAATATTTTTTGAAAAAAACATAGGAAGCTAACAATTGTACACACAGGAAACGGAATGGAGCAGATTTTATAACTCCAACAATTGCCAGATAAAGACGGAGTTGTAGCAAAACACGGAAATTTGATGGACGGAAATGCTGAACATACAGAGTGGATGCTGCTATTATTTGGAGATGTTATGTGGTGACCTCCTAAGAAGCCACTTAATAAATACTGAACTGTAGAAGAGAAAGGTTAGATTATTCCCGTATGCCCATCTCTCTCACAACATACCTTAATCAATACCCTCAAGCAATTCTTGTGAGCTTGTGAATCAGAATGTGCCTGGTTTTAGATGTATCAGACCTCAAAATGTTACATGACAACTAGGGACAGTTATGCTTTTGCAAATGTACCAAAGTCATGGGATTGTTTATTTCTAATAATGTCTTGCATGCATCATAGATAAAAGACAACTATTCTGACTTGTTATTTTCAAAATTTAAAGGAGCGATTATTGGCTTGGTGTGGAAATATAACATTTTGACCTAAATAAATACATTGACCAGTGATGTTTTTGAATTAATCAAAATATGCCATAATTCTGGGTAAGGAGTTTTCCTGCAACAGTTGAAATTTCTCAGAAACCTAAAGGCCCCAAGATGCTGCAAGAACATAAGCGAATTCACTGGAAATGTAGGTCAAACTAATCTACATACCACAAATCTTTAAAAGACATTTCCCTGTACAGCTCCATTTGGAGTTGTCTCATTCAGACAAGAAATCTCAGGCTTTGATATAAGCTAATTTAAGAAATGTGTTTTGAACTTACTTACATCTATGTACATGTTTGTTTTCAAAAAGCCACATCCCTCTGATCCTTTTCCCAATTTGGCATCCTATGCTCAGGTCCTCAAAGATTATATAAGCAAGAATTTCAAGGGTTTCGTTTCACATTAAATTTCACATTTGCAGGCCTCAGGGAATTGAAAAACAAACCCCAAAATAAATGGCAATATGGTTCTCTCACTGCATTGTTCAAAAAAGCTAATGGGCAACAGAGTCGCTCCAAGCTAGACGAATACTGTTTTGCTTGAGTACTGTTTGTTGAGTATCTTCATTTCATTGCATCATGTGAATGCAGGCTGCCGAAGCTACCTTATATCAAATTTGACTTTTAGTTGAGCTAGCTCCATGTTGTATTGTCGAAGGCTTTCATGGTCAGAATCACTGGGTTGTTGTGAGTTTTCCGAGCTGTATGGCCATGTTCCAGAAGCATTCTTTCCTAACGTTTCACCCACATCTATGGCAGGTATCCTCAGAGGTTGTGAAGTCCTCACAAACTCTGAGGGTGCCTGCCATAGATGCAGGTGTAACATCAGAAGAGAATGATTCTGGAACATGGCCATAAAGCCTGGAAAACTCACAACAACCTAGCTCCATGTTGTTTGAAAGCAACTATCCTTAGTTTGGTATCATCCAGGCACTTGGACTACAAGTCTCATTATCACCAACCAGGAATATAGTCATTGTGGTCCAGCACTAAGTAGCAGTAACTCTCTATGGTTTAACACGGGCATCTCCTCCATCGCTGCCTGGAGAGCCTGTGGACTGAACCTGAGAGTTTTGCTTGCATTGAGCTGTAGTCCTTCCTCAACAGCTTCATGAGTGGAAGTGCCATAAATAAAAGAGGCTGAATAATATATTCACAAAGACACAAGTATCTATAGTTGGGGTTTCAATGTACATTTAGATCCAGGTCAAGAAAAGGAAGGTCAAGGGAGGCCAAGGATCATAAGCAGAGTTCAGAGACTCCACCTACATCCTTTCAAGTATAAAAGTAAGTACCTTCCCAGCCTGTTTTCTTAGGATAGTTGGTATACAAGCTCTTTGAATGAATTCCACTAGAGAAAAAGAGTCTCTTTATGCAAGTGTTCTCAGATGGTCAACATGCTCATAAGTATGCAGTTCTTCTCTTGTTATCATTCACATAATGCAGTTTCTGAAGAATTGCATCACTTGAGATCACATACTATGCAAGTGCATCCTTGCTATTACCTAATATCATGAAGGAGAACATTGTAACAAGCCAGCAGCTACCTTCCTCGTGTTATATTCCACCACTAAGGAAAACATGATTACGGTCTCTATATATTCAAGGAACATGGAGTAGATGGAACAGACATGTTCCTTGTTGCACCAGAAGGCAGGGCTGGGACCAAGGAATGAAAATGATGGTCCTGAAAAAAAGCACTAAAATGGAGTAGCTCCTTGGTGTCTTCGAACTGCATATGATTTTATGGTCATGGAAGCTGTTACCAATAACAATTTCCTCTGGCAAAATTCAGGATTGATTCCACTTGGCCAGAGTCAAGTGAAACTAGGTGGTAACTCTACTCCGATATCTCAAAGCTTTAGTTAGAAGTGGTCGAGAATGATGGAACTGCCTTGGTTCTGCCATCACAGCCTCACCTCACAAAGAGACATAGGAAAACGAAGCAGAAAGCTTGAAGATGAAGGCTAAATAATTCAAGAAGTGGAAGTCTGCAGCAACATAGCACACCAGACAAGTATTTTGGAGTAAAGGAGACCATAAAGGTTCCACAACTTCCTTAGCTTGTGGAGTAGATGCCACATGGGGAACTTTTGATATCCCAATAGGAATTCCATACAAAAAGTATGAGCATCTTTCTAAATATCCATTAAAGACAGACATTCTAGCCCAGGAATGGGCAAACTTGGATCCTCCTGGTGTTTTGGACTTCAACTCCCACCATTCCTGATGGCCTCAAGTGGCTGAGGGAGAAAAAGAAAGGGCCTGAGGCCATTAGGAACGGTGGGAGTTGAAGTCCAAAACACCAGGAGGATCCAAGTTTGCCCATGCCTGTTCTAGCTTATTCCCAACTGCTAAACCCAACTAGGGCAGATCCAATCAATCAACTGAATTTGCATAAGTGCTAATTTACCAAATTCTCATTGTTTCATTGAATCTGCTTGAGTTGGAATGAACAATTCGATTTAGGCTTCTGTCATCGGCAAAAAAGCTCCTGCCATTATCAAATCCCAGCACAAAACAGAGTGACAGTAAACAATTCAGCATACGTAGGAAAAAATATATTATTACATATTATAAACACTATGTACATAGGTTGAAATGGATGGCATTTTACTTACAAATAATTTGCCATCTTACTTACAGTCCTTATTTGCTATGTACATGGAAGCACTTGGAGGCAACGCGGCTAAGCTATACATTTCTGAAGAATTGATGGGAATTTAGTAGAGGGGAACACAGTCGGCCACGTTACGCATCAATAGCTCTGAACAAAAAAGAGTATCAGATTTTCTAGCTAATCATTTGTTAGTGTGCAATTTTTCTATAAATTCCAACTTAATGGATGCAATTTCTCAAATTCATTGTATTGCATATTAAACCTTGTTTTCTAAAAAGTCATTGTTTTCTCCTTCCGGTGAGTGAGATCATGAAGTCTGGGGTCCATAGATTATTTACATACTGCAAAGTGAGCAGCAATAAATAAGGAACGTTGTCATGGAACGTTGGTATATCTTGACTTAAACACACTTGTCAGTAACTAAGAGGGTTTGTTTCCTCTGCCAAACTCTAAGGATGTGGTCAGTTGGGTTTTGTAACAGCCTCTTTTCTTGGCCCCAGCAGGTCTTCAGGATCTAAGAGAAACATTCCTTTCCTTGATATAAGGGAGAAATGTGGTGGCTTCCAGGGCGGCAGAAGAATTTAGCTAGATCTCTGTCAATGTGACCTTGAAACCTTCCACCAAGCTTTCTATGTTTAGGATGAAAGTGTCTTCATTGGAATAATGTTCGATGATGTTATCATCCATATTGACCAGGATTCTGGAATGAAAAGAAAATCATTTATTTACTACATTTATATACCACAACGTGGTTTCCAACATTTTAAAGGCAAAATCCAATGCTGCACATAGATAACCAAAAGATAATAGCAAGACAATAACATATAACTATAAATTAACCTAACCAAATTAAAACATAAAAATAAAATAATATTTAAAGATAAAGCAAAAAAGATTGCTAATACAATCACATTTATATTAAAACCCACTGATAAACGACGATTTTAAAACAGTTATTAAAACCACACCATCCAAAATCAAGTCCGTAGTCGTTCCATTGGTCCGTTCACTATTCCTTATTATCTTACTGCACTACAAACTTTGCTGTTTGAAAGGTTGGTCACATAACTCTGTTTTTACTTTCTTCCTGAATGTCTGGAGGGAGGGGGCTGCTCTAATTTCACTAGGGAGGGAGTTCCATAGCCGAGGGGCCACCACTGAGAAGGCCCTGTCTCTCATCCCCACCAGTCATGCTTGCAAGGAAGGCGGCACTAAGAGCTGGGCCTCCCCAGAAGATCTTAAACTCCAAGGTGGATCATAGAAGGAGACACGTTTGGACAGGTAAGCTGGGCCGGAACCGTTTAGGGCACATTTAAAAAGGGCACATTACCATAATTCTGATGGATAGAGGGTTTTTTCTATATGTGTAAATACTTTGAACATTTGTGTTAATGCTTTGATAAAGCCCTCAGTGCAATTCAAGTGCAAGTCCCAGCTTCATGTGTTTTCTTCTGTACAATGTGCATAGATTTGCACTCATGCGGATCCAAATCAGCTTCTCAAACAACACAGAACACACTTCTTCCAAACTGGGATCCTCCACTGATTTGCATAAATTATACTATCTTTGCACACATATAGAATTATGCTATATTTGAACAGATCCATGTTAGACACAGTGTTCTGGTCCCATTATCTTCTTGTTCTGTTCCTTCTGATCTTGGAATAAGGAAATGACATGCCTTGAATATTTTCTGCTACTGTTGTTCAGTCTCATTGATAAATAAAAGACTATTTATCCTTCTAGTGAACTATAAATTTTATTTTAAACAATTGAAACTGTGAGACCTGGCTCCTGTTTTATTAACACGGATGTTGTGGGAGGCGCTGAAGGGTTATTGCCCCATCCTCAGCTTGAGAAGGAATGCATAACAAACGATGTATCTACTTGAAATTGACCCCCTTTCTATTAATTGGTAATGAGTGCAATATCAATTTATATTTCAGAAACATGCCTTGGGAAGAAGTCAACCTACCTACCTATTGTTTGATATTTCCTGGATACATTTAAAGGCATTTTTAGAGGCATCAGATGTATTTTTTGCTCAACAATATTAATACTTTAAACAAAAAATGAATAGCCATGCTAGCAACAATGTGATGAGCAACATTTAAGAAACTATAATGAGAAACAAATGTAGACAGATCAGATCTCCCATCCTGGACAGGCCACAGATATATAAACCTCACTTGCCTAGTTTCCAACAGACCTCACAACCTCTCAGGATGCCTGCCATAGATGTAGGCAAAACGTCAGGAGAGAATGCTTCTGGAACATGGCCATACAGCCCAGAAAACTCACTGCAACCCAGATCACATTTGTTTCTTGTAACTGCCTAAACTCTGGCCCTATCCCAAGTTTATTGCATAATATCTGAAGTGCAAAGCCAATCTGAAAATACCAGTTGGGGAAGAAGTTACAATGTGGGCATATTGGTTGCGATGCCAGGATTGTCATGTGACCTGCGTGGTGTAGCAAGGAGCCCCATTACAGCAGCTCCCACATTGCAGAGTAATGTGAGAACACCTTTCCTATAATATATGTCTGAGCCAACACATTTATCAAGAGGCCTATAGCTGTAAAGTGTGGTGAAAAGTTAGCAGAAACCACACGGTTCAGTCCTTGCTCTGACCTCTCCTGCAACCCTGTTTGAAGCATGAGCTGCTCAGAGAAGGGATCTCGCCTTGCAATGTGACCAAATATCACCGAAGTAGCACAAAGGAATCAAGGTCTTGCCTGAGGTCTCGAGGCACTTTCATAAAAACATGAATCACAAGCTTCCACTTACCCCTTTTTGCTCTTCTTATAAAGCTTTGTGATCTTTTCGCCTGGAAGGCCGTATTTCTCAGAAATCTACATTTAATATTTTTTTAAAGAAAGAAAGAAAGAAAAGATATGTTAAAAAGCAAACTCCACAAAGTTATCACAATTTTCCATTAAAGTCTGGTTAACATTTTACTACCAATTTAATGTGTGAATTTTGCAACATTGCATTTCTAGTAAAGGTAAAGATTTCCCCTTGACATTAATTCTAGTCGTGTCTGACTCCAGGGGGCAGTGCTCATCTCCATTTCTAAAATGAAGAGCTGGTGTTGTCCATAGGCATCTCCAAGGTCATGTGGCCAGCATTACCTTCTCGCTGGAAATGTACTACTCACATTTTGCAAGTTTTTTAACTGCTAGGTTGGCAGAAACTGGGGCTAATAGCGGGAGCTCACCCCTTTCCCTGGATTTGAACAGCTGACCTTTTGGTCAGGAAGTTCAGCAGCTCAGAATTTTAACCTGTTTTGCCACTGGGGACTATTTCTATTCAGAGGTAAATTATATAGAGCATAACGAGACCTTTGCACTTGTAGGTTTGCAAACATCTATCCAGCATGGGGTAGTGATTTGAGCACTGGGCTATGATTCTGGAGACAAGGACTCAAATTCCCACTCACACACCCCATCCCTCACTGGGTGACTTAGCCAGGTCACACTCTCTGGATTTCAATGAATTGATGGAATTCACCAAACGTTTAAAAATAGATTAAACCTGCCATTGCCCCATGAAGACTTCAGGAAAAGTGCCACTAGAACAGTGGTTCTCAACCTTCCTAATGCTGCTATCCCTTAATACAGTTCCTCATGTTGTGGTGACCCCCAACCATAAAATTATTTTCGTTGCTACTTCATAACTGTAATTTTGCTACTGTTAGGAATTGTAATGTAAATACCTCATATGCAGGACCAAATTTGGCACAAATCCACCCAAATTTGAATATTGCTGAGGTGGGGATGGGGTTGATTTTTTTCATTTGGGAGTTGTAGTTACTGGGATTTATAGTTCACCTACAATCAAAGTGCATTCTGAACTCCACCAACGATGGAATTGAACTAAATTTGGCACACAGAACAGTCATGAGCAACAGAAAATACTGGAAGGATCTGGTGGCAATTGACCTTGAGTTTTGGAGTTGTAGTTCACCTACATACAGATAGCACTGTGGACTCAATGATGGATCTGGACCAAACTTGGCACGAATGCTCAATATGCCCAAATGTGAACACTGGTAGAGTTTGGGGGAAATAGATCTTGCAATTTGGGAGTTGTAGTTTCTGGGATTTATAGTTCACATACAATCAAAGAGCATTCCTAACCCCACCAATGATAGAATTGGGCCAAACTTCCCACACAGAACCCCATGCATGACCAACAGAAAATACTATGACACCCCCTCACAACACCCCCCCCCGGGGTTCCAACCCCCCCAGATTGAGACATGCTGCACTAGAAAGTCTAGTGTTTACCTTGAGACCATATTATCCCTTTAAAAAACTTGGCAATATTAAAATGTTGTATAAGGCTAGAAAACATACACATAAGCTTGTTGTGGCAAGCTGAAGCACAAACTTGGGAAGCAATTGGTATACTGGCTAGCTGGACAATTCTTGGACTTGTCTCAAGAAAGTAACTTTTACAAAGTTTGGTTCAAACTGATGTATTCAAGGACATCTTCCACAGCAGCTCCGCACATTACCAGCCTGCCAGGCTCCTATGTTACATAGATATATAAACCATAGATATACATGGAGCCCCCAGTGCCACAGTGGGTTAAAGCACTGAGCTGCTGAATTTGCTGACCTAAAGGTTGCAGGTTCGAATCCAGGGAGTGGCGTGAGCTCCCGCTATTAGCCCCAGCTTCTGCCAACCTAACGGTTTGAAAACATGAAAATGTGAGTAAATCAAAAGGTACTCCTCCAGCAGGAAGGTAACGGTGCACCATGAAGTCATGCGGGCCACATGACCTTGGAGGTGTCTATGGACAATGCCAGCTCTTCAGCTTAGAAATGGAGATGAGCACCAACCCCCAGATAAGACTGGATTTAATGTCAGTGGAAAAACCTTTACCTTTTACTATTCATGGAGTAAATCAAGAATCAAAAAGCAGAGAGAGATACCTAGGCTGGGAGAGGTGTGTGCCTAGTGAACAGAAAAGCTCCCGTCTAATTTTCTCTTTCCTTTCCTCCCCATGTTACATTAATATTACTTTAATAATTCTCTTCATGTTGATCATGTCCATCCGTGTTTATAGAGATGTGGAGAAGAGAGACATTGCGGCACATCCTTCAGTTAGTCATAGATGTGTCAGTCTCAGAATTATTACCGCATTCTTTATTAACGGACATGATTCCCCTGTCTTCCTGACTTTAATATATCAACATAGGAGATAATTCCCAATGGGGGATAACATGTCAACAGAGGCTTCATCATCACAAAATTGTCTTTGGCAACAGGAAACAGCAGAACATCAAAGCAAAATGCCTTTCTTCTTTCCAGCTCAAAATCATTTTGCAACACTATGAAATTATGGACCTTAAAAGGATTAAAAGATCACCTTATCTAAATCCCTGCTTTGAGAAGGAGTCACTGTATCTAAACAAGTGGCTCTCAATATGGGGTTTTTTTTTCTGTCTGTGGTCACAAATTTGTCTTCTCTTCACTACTATTCTGATTACAGTTTTCAAGGGGGATATGTTCCTGAACTTTGCATGCATATATAAAACCAAAATTAACAGTAAATAGCATGTCAGGAATGTGGAACAGCAACAATTTATGCTGGGACATATGGCTCAGGTTCCATGTGTAGATGCTCAGTTAATAATATACTGTTTGTTTCCTTTTACCTTCCCCTATTGATATACTATGCTCCTTCCCCTCCCCTCCTTTTACTCACAACATAATCAAACCTGTTTTGCATAGCTTCCCGTTAGCCTCACACGAACACAGTTTTCAAAGCTGTTTCCTAGTTGCAAATGCAGACAGCTAATTAGAGTTCACCTCACATTTTTCCTATGACTCAGCCGCAGGGCAAATAAAAAGGCGAAAGAGATAAGCGCTGCGTGCAAAGACATTCACGCTGCAGAATTCTTCGCACAATAAGGGGGTAAGAATTTTTTGCCATGAAAGTACCAGCTGGAAATTCAGAGATTTCAATCAGCAGTGAACAAAGCAAGCCCAATGTAGCTTTTAAAGAATTAGATACACTGAAGACACCAGCGGTTTCTTCCCTACCTGTCTATCCGATTGCAATTTCCAGTTACCAGTAGTAACTATCTGTGATCTGCTAATGGTAAATGGGAATTGTGTAGCTCCATATCTTCCAACATTTTAAAGAAGAAAATGGGTATGGGTAACTAAACCCCGACATAAGAGTATGGTCAAATAGCGAAGTTGTGAATAAATAGGAATACACAAAGTAGGAGAGACTACAAGAGTTGGCTTTCCTTGGGTCTATTTGGAAAGGACAGATTCAACTCATCCTCTTCTCTCCCCCCTTCTGAGTTTAGTATAAACAACTTTTGAACTTGAACTCAATTTACAGCAATTTAAGGAACCATAGGATCATAAAGTTGGAAGAGACCTCGTGGACTGTCCAAGAAACAGGAAAATTGCATTCAAAGCACCCCCGACAGATGGCCACCCAGCCTCTGTTTCAAAGCCTCCAAAAAAGGAACCTCCACTACACTCCGGGGCAGAGAGTTCCACTGCTGAACTGCTCTCACAATTAGGAAGTTCTTCCTAATCTTCGAATGAAATCTCCTTTCCTGTAGTTTGAAGCCATTATTCTACGTCCTAGTCTCCAGGGCAGCAGAAAACAAGCTTGCTCCCTCCTTTCTATGACTTCCTCTCACATATTTATACATGGCCATCATCATGTCTCCTCTCAGCTTTCTCTTCTTCAGGCTAAACATGCCCAGCTCTTTAAGCTGCTTCTCATAGGGCTTGTTCCCCAGACCCTTGATCATTTCAGTCGCCGTCCTCGAGACACATTCCAACCATCTCCCTTCAATTGTGGTGCCCACCACTGGACACAGTGTGGTCTGATCAAGGCAGAATGCAGGGGTAGCATGACTTCCCTGGATCTAGGCACTAGACTCCTATTGATGTAGGCCAAAATGCCATTGGCTTTTTTAGCTGCCGCATGACATTGTTGGCTCATGTTTAACTTGTTGTCCATGATGACTCCAAGATCTTTGTCACACATACTGCTCTTAAGCCAGGCATCCCTCATTCTGTATCTTTGCATTTCATTTTTCCCCTGCCTAAATGGAATGTCTTGCATTTGTCCCTCTTCATTTTGATACTTTTGGCCCATCTCTCTAATCTGTTAAGTTTGTTTTGAAAGTGTGGCCTTAGTGAGAATATTGGAAGAGGAGACATACATTGGGTCATTTTATAAAGTAGCTCAAAAGTAGGAGGACAGAGAATGAATAGTTGACGAAGGTTGGAGGGTATGACCTCCCATAGTATTTTGTTCAGGTTTATAGATGTCATTCTTTAAAAAATTACATATATATACAAATTTAAAAATCAACTTTATAGGCTGTAGGAAATTGTGACACCTTCTTGAATATGTATGTCCCAAACCTCCTTTTATTACAAATCCTTCTTCCTCCAAAGTGTTTCAGTTTGCCTGCAGAAATGCCGTCGACTTTATAGTGAAGGCTTTAAAGAATGGTTTGGAATCTGAATTCATAAACAAAACGGATTGCATTTTTCAGGTCATGGAAAAAAAGGTCTACAGAGGCAGTTCTGTCTTTGAGTGGATGTAGTATGCATTGTGTGCTTTCTAGGCTTGTTCTATTGTAAGCCGGCTCTTTCCTCGACTGGATGAAATACTTTCTTTTCCCAAACCCATGTTTTATGTACAGCAGCCCTGTTTTTAGCCCTTATAAAAAGTCTAATGAAACAGGCAGTTCCCTATGAGAAGGCATGCCATAATAAACAGTTTATTCTCTAAGGTGCCATAGTACTTTTTGGTCTCCCAGAAGAGAAAAAGAAAATAGGAATGATGAAGATAAACTGCCTG